TATGGGCTTCCGAAGGCGACGTTAGGCATTTTGGACCGCCTTCAAAACCATCTCGGCAGCCGGCAGGCCTGTTGCGGGCTCTCTGTGGCCTGTCCGAAGCCTGCCTCCTCTCTTCTTATGGGCTTCCGAAGGCGACGTTATAGGCATTTTGGACCGCCTTCAAAAGCCTCTCGGCAGCCGGCAAGCCTCTTGCGGCCTCTCTGTGGCCTGTCCGAAGCCTGCAGCCTCCTCTCTTCTTATGGGCTTTCGAAGGCGACGTTAGGCATTTTGGACCGCCCCCAAACCCCTCTCGGCAGCTGGCAGGCCTGCCTCTTCTCTTGGCCTGTCCCAGGCCTGCCTCTTCTTTCTTATAGCAGGCCTGCCAGCAACGTTAGGCCTTTTGGACCGCCCCCAAACCCCTCTCGGCAGCTGGCAGGCCTGCCTCTTCTCTTGGCCTGTCCCAGGCCTGCCTCTTCTCTTCTTATGGGCTTCGATCCGAAAGCAACGTTAGGCATTGTGGACCGCCCCCAAACCCCTCTCGGCAGCTGGCAGGCCTGCCTCTCTCTTCTTATGGCTTCCGAAAGCAACGTTACGCATTGTGGACTGCCCCCAAACCCTTCTCGGCAGCTGGCAGGCCTGCCAGCAACGTTAGGCATTTTGGACCGCCCCCAAACCCTTCTCGGCAGCTGGCAGGCCTGCCTCTTCTCTTCTTATGGGCTTTTTCGGAACGTTAACGCATTTTGGACGGCCCTCAAACCCTTCTCGGCAGCTGGCAGGCCTGCCTCTTCTCTTCTTATGGGTTTCCGAAAGCAACATTATAGCCATTTTGGACCGCCCTCAAACCCTTCTCCGCAGCTGGCAGCGCCGTTGCCCAGGCTCCAAACCCCTTCCCGGGACCCTTGGCTGCACATTCCTGCACCGCAGCCTTGCCTGCGAAAGCCGGTGTTATTCATGGTCGCTTTCTATTTCGTCGTGTCGCGCTTGCTCTCCGGAACTAGCCAGCTCTTTGTCGGGCATTGTTTTCCTGAAGGTGTGTTGTGTGTGGCCTGAATGCGCCCAAAGAGCACTGTTGACCAGACCACACTGTGGCATGCGGGGCACCTTTGCGGATGCTGGCGTGTCTGCGCGCTAACAGTGCCTTCTTTGACGTAAAACCGGTTGCCGCACACGGTTCGGTGATCTATTTGCCCTGTTTTCAGCTTGCTCGCAACGTGCCCTTTGCAAAATGGACAAACATAGTTACACTTCCTGGCGGCTACGTCGCCGTCTTTCACACGAAAACGATGCCCGCACGCACGGCGGTGATCTATTCGGCCTGTGCGCACGCTGCTGCTCACCGACGCCTCACAAACAGGACATGCATATTGGAACATTTCCTTCGCGGCCTTCCGTCCAGGTAACTTTGCCGGCGCTGCGTTTGTTTCCTGCGCGGCTGTCGCCGTGGCCTGCGTCTCTTCGGGTGGACCTCGCATCTGGTCCGTTCCCTCTGCCCTCCTCCGTTTTTGCTCTGTGTGCATATTGTTTCTGACCGACTCGTGTTTTGCGCGCTTTGCTGCTGGCTCTTCCGACGCTGCTCGCGTCGTCGCTCTGCGGGGTGGGGTCTTTGTCTCTGTCGGCTCTGCTTGCTTCTCTGGTTGTGTTTTCCTCTGTTGCGCACGGTCAGCGATCTCTTCCCTGACAAGAGCTATGACTTGCTGTCTCTTTTCCTCCGCTACCTTCGTCTGCCATGCAGTCGCACGGCGTATCGCTTGTCGCATCACGCTTCTTCGCAGCAACGGCCGTACGCTGTCCGGGCTTTCTGCCCGAATGCACCTCATTACCTGCTGTCTCTTGTCCTGCACTCGCAGCTTGTCTAGTCTGCCCTTTGCCTTCTTTGCAGCCGCCCGGATTTCCCTTGCCTGGAAGCACGGATTGCAACGCTGCTTTCCATTACGCTGCTTTCCATTTTGCCTCGTGCTTTGCCGTGTCCACGCGCTGAAGTGCTCGCGTGCTTTTTGCGCACTGCACACTCCGCAGCGCCAATGACCGGTCACTTTCACTGCGCACTCCTTGCAATAACGTCGGTCTGCATGTCGCGCCTTCCACGCAGAAGCTCCAAACGCGCTCGCCGGCTTTGCCACGCCGCACTTGCAGCACGGCTTCTGCACTTCGCACGTGTGGCACACGCGGTAGAAAGTGCACTGCGGGCGCGCGTATTGCTCTGCAAAGGCGGCCTCGTCCTGCCATGCTTTGCATACGCTGCATTGCCACGGCGTGTTGTTTGCCGCATGGTTACGCACGCATTCTCTGCACACCCGCGCGGCTGCTTCCCGTTTCCACTGCCCTGCAGTGTACCCGCTTTTGGGCTTGCGTTCGCGGCACTCGCTGCACGCTTCTTCTTCTCGGTAGCGCCTGCGTACCGTTGCCCAATCGATGCAGTCCCCACGCCAGGTCTGCAACAACAGAGCCCTCCCCACGCTACATCCTTTCTGGTATGGCGAGGCATCAAAGGGTCTGTAGATGTATAAACCCTCTCTATCTCTCACCCGTGTCACCGCAATGTACGCTGTCATGGGGTCTCCGCCTTCGCCGATTTGCATGTCTGTTATTGCCCCCTCTGCGTAGGTTTGACCCTGTGCGGCGTGGGCAGTCGTTGCAAAGCCTGGGGCCAGCGGAAATTGCCGCCGGACGACACGTAGCATTGGCCGGCTCCTGCCTTTGTCTATGTGCCATGGTTGCCGTTGAAGCGTCACAGGAAAGACGTTGTCCTTGTCCAGGCCTTGGACTCGCCACTGCGTTTTCGTTGTGAATTGGACGAAAATACATGTTGGGGGCTGGTTCCAAATATGTGTCTTTTGGTCTTGTGATATCTCCTGATCTTTTCGCCAGCTCCACCCGACCACCTTGCCTGGACATCCCTTCAGTATGCCTCTGCGGCGGTCCAGGTGGTCTGTTGCCGTCACTGGCATGCCCACGCACAAGGGCAAAACTCCATATAACCCTCCGCAGTCTTGGTCGTGTCGCTGCAGCCACGTTAATTTCTCCCTCCCCAGATCCGGTTTTTCTTGCAATGCACGACTGGAGATAGTATCTTTTGCGATGGCATACTGCACTTCTTGACCCTGCCTCTGTGCCCAATCTTGCGCTCGCAACTTGTTCACATGGTACTTCACTGCGTTCGTCGCAAAAATTGCTTTGGCTCGGTCCTTTTTCTCCACTTCGACCATGTGCCCCGCGGTATCTACCACGCGTTTCTTTGACGCTCGTTCTTCCTTGCACCTGGGGCATTCATGCAGCCGGATGTGTGCGGGCGTGTATTTGCCCTGCATTAGCTTCCTGCACGTTGCATTCCCACACTCTAAGGTTTCGCCAGACCAACTCCCCTGATCTTCCAAAAGTCTCTATTTAGAGGTTCCACCCTTATTTAAAGACTATAGTCTTTATTTTTTCAATGAAAAACCTCTAAATAAGGTCTATATACTCTAATTAGAGGTTAAACCCCTTAAAATAGAGAAGGTACCTCCTCTATTTAAAGCTTTAAGCTTTAAATTAGAGACTATAGTCCTTATTTAAGGGATGTTCCAAAAGCCCTTATTTAAGGGATGTTGACTGGCAAGAGAAACGACATATTTTCCATGTTAGAGTCCACTTCAGAGCTCCGGCACATCGTGCTGTGCAGCAAAACGGTCAAACACAGAGAGCCCCACTGCTTTTGCAGTGCTTCCCCCACCTCTGCGCTCGGCCAAGAGTGCAATCCTACCGCCCCATGTTAAGGCAGACGGCGGAGTGCTAGTCTGGACAAGTTCGAGAAAGGCGCGCAGCTTTGGCTTGGCCGGAAAAGTCTTCCAGCCATGAGCCGCGGAGTAATCACCCAGCGCGACATAGAGAAGGGCGAAGCGCAGGGCAGCCTGTTCTAGAAGTTCTCTGTGAAAGGCCTCTTTGCTCAGCTGCTGGTAGCAGACCTGCAACTGCAGGGCGGCTGCTGCTGCAGTGGCGGCCGCAGGCTGTGTGTGGTCGAAGAGCTCGTTTGTGACCTCGACCGCGAAATCAATGAGGTCCCTAGCTTCACCGGCTTTCGCCCGCAAGCGGGCATAGGCGCCAGGCTGCTTCCAGATCATTGTGGGCTTGAGCTCCAGCAAGCAAGAAGTCTTGCAGGTTCTCTTGTAGTAGGCCTTCATACGCAAGTGTAGAGCGCTGCACTTTTGCGCTTGGTTGCCCTCGAGGTAATCGCAGGCCCAAGCCAAGATGCCCCCTAAGAATTCCAAGGAGATGCCCAAGTCAGTGGTGTGGAGCCAATCCATTTGGAAGGTTTCGGTGGTGACAAATGGAATGTTGAAGGCTGGAGAAATCGATTTCCCATCAGCCACCATCCTGACCAAGAGATCAGCATGGCAGAGGCGGTGGCTGGGCTGTCGCCAGTCGGAGTTGGAGGCCACTTCGCGAATGCGGTCTGGCGTCATATCACATCGATAGCAGCAGCCAGTTTTGTCGCGCCAGCCAGGGAAGCGAAAGACAGACTTGAGGGCTGACCAATCACCTTTGATTTCCAGCAGCACCCCACGGGGCAAAGGCATGGCAGAGCCCAAAGCCTTCTTCCTCCAGGCATCGGTGTCGTCAAATGGCTTTCCGTCTGATCTGGTCTGAGGCCAACAGCCAGTGGCCAACTCTTTCATGAAAGTGGCCAACTCTTTCGCTTTAAGTGGTCCACAAAGTTGCCACCGTAGAAGACATACATGAACTTATCCAACTCTTTCTCCTCAGGGTGCTCTTTCTTCTCGGCTTTGAAGGCAAACTTCTCGACCGACTCAGCAATTAGGCGCTGCACCAGAGAATCCTTGCGCTCAAAGGTCATCGAGTCCGGCTGGAAGGCGTTCATCTCCAAAATCTGGTTCCTGGCAGGGCAGCAAACAAAAAATGTTCTTTTCTGTCTTGGGGGTGGGGACCGCTGTGGGAGTTTAGTTTCAAAAGAGTCCTTGTAAAAAAAACCTTCGCGCAGCTTGTCACGGGACTCCGTAGCATCCGTGTGTTGGTTCTCCACACTCATGAGCCACTGGGTATTGTTCTTGCCGCCAGCAGCTTCGAACTCTTTGAGCAGGCCCTCCTTTTCAGCCGCTGTCTTGCTCCAGTACATGTCCAAAAACTGCTGAGCCTGTGACTTCTTCTCTGCATCCTTGGAGTGGTTGGCCCTGTACTTCATGAGGTTCAAGACACGCTGCTGAAGCTGCATCTTCTCTGCAGCACTGGAGACGGTTTCTACCTCCAAGGCCTCAGTCGACTTGCCCCTTTTCAATTTAGCCCCAGCAGCAGGCTCTGCCTTGGCCTTGGCTTTAGCAGCAGCTTTGCCAGCAGCAGGCTTTTTGGGCGCAGCAGGCTTCTTGGGCGCAGCAGCCTTGCTTGCACCAGCCATGGCAAGGACAAGTGGTACTCAAGACAAGTGGCCTCACAGACAGGGAGCTACTCAGGGGTGGAAAAGCTGAGAGCAGCGCCAAGCAAGAGCTGCAGCTCATCTCTCTCTCTTTGTCTCAAAAAAAAGAGAGAGCGCATCGCACTTGCCATCCTGTACGGTGCTCCCAAAAACCGGCAAAAGACAGACAAACACATCGACCCAGCAAGAGAAGAACAAGAAAGGGGACAGGAAGGAGAAACAAACCGGAAGGACAAGATGTGCAATATGTTATGTCCTCAGGTCCTGACTCACAAAGAGCAAAGGACGCCAAGGTCTAGCCCCACCAGTCCAATGAACAAACATCTACTCCAAAGTCTGGGAAACAGACATTGAGCAGAAAGCCTGCGCAGCAAAAATTTTCAAATTTGATTTTTTCAAAAATGTTCCTTTTAATATTAAATTAAAAGGTAGACTTTTGAAAAATTTTTTCAAATTTGAAAATTTTGGTGGGTGTGCGTGTGTGTGTGTTGGTGTTGCGCGCACAACTGCTCCAAAACTCACAACTCGAGTTTGCTTCCAAAGCCACAACCGTTGAACTCCTATCTGTTTGTTTAACAAAGGAAACATTGCCAAATCCAAAGCCACTCAGCTGGCATATTTTTCCTGGCTACAGGATTGGTCGCTGTGACCGGTATGGATTCAGGGCATCTCCTGGCCCACTATACTTATAGGTGCCTCTGGTGAGTAGGGTCTGGGATCCAAACAAATATACCAACCCTTAAAAAACAAACCCTTGCACTTAACAGGTGGTTATATATATATATATATATCTTCATTCATTTGAGGGGTTATACCCACAGACCCAAACATGTTCCAGTGCAGGCTCTAGGAGCTCAGGCGCCACTCTTGGATGTGGCGGAAAACAGCCAACGCGCGGCGCCACATGAGGCATGTGGTGCTCAAATCCGGGGACGCGTCCAGCTCAAGGTTCAACGGGTTCTGCGTGTGTGGAACGACTTCCCACTTGGCGTCAGCAGCAGCAGGCCGAATGTCCTCGAAGGTCTCATCGCTCTGTCCTGCACAGGGTCAGGTGTGCGAAACAAACAAACATGCATTCATTCAGGCCTGACTCCCAAGAGCAAAGGCCCAAAATCATGCGCAAAACACATGAGTTCAAACATATATTGTTTTTGGTTTTGGTGGCTTGCTCCTGACCCAGAAGGCAAAGGAGCAGGCCACCCATAGCTGCAAGAACTGTCAAGTCGGTCGAGAGTCCAGGGGGAGCTGTCCAAAGTCCGCTGCTTCCTTTGAACCCGGCATGCATGCATCGCACACTTTGAGCTGCTGCAAGTCGACTCACTCACTTCAGACCTTGCGCCTCTCTATACATCTAGGCCTCCTGACCTCCCTACGAAGCTAAGGATGCCGTGACTGCCCTGGTGCACTGCTGAACCGTGTGCGCGCGCGCGCGTATGTTGTGCTGTGCGCGGGGAAGCGACATGAACAGGACGAGATACAGAGGGGTCGACAATCGGGGAAAGAGACAAGACCAAACAACAAGACCAAACAAAACACAAATCTCCCCCAAAACAAATTTTGCTTTTGGTTCGCAGCTGTGCAATCAAAGAAGGCCCCGCTTCCGCCAACACGACGGAGTGCAGCCCCTGCGATTTCTGCAGGTTCCACAGCCTTTGGGCCGGAGCTTCTGTCGCTCCGTCCCTAGCATGGTTTTGCCTGTCTTTTCATTGTACAAATCTGGCAGAGGCGACAAGCTTTCCTCCGAATTGGCCTCCCCCTCAGATGCCAGGGCTGCAGCAGCAGGCGCGGCTGCGGGTCGCTTCTGCGCGGGTCTCTTCTTTGGGGCCGAGGCCGGCTTTTTGCGGGTTGCCAAATCCTCCAACAAAGTAGGGCATTCAGTTTCTTCTTGGGCGCCGTCTCGCCAAGTTGCCACTAGGAACCCATTGCTCCCAGCGCTCATCTTAGCTTCCTCCCGACGCCCACCCGGATGCATGCGCACTGCCACACGCTTCTCCCACTCAAAGAAATGCGCCACAGTCGCCCCCTCTTTCAAATCCGGCGCTGAGCTCGCCACTGTCAAAGCCTCGGAGGGGCGTGGAGCCAAGCGCCTGACTTTCTTTGGCCGCGACACACCCATGGCAGCAAACACATCCTGTTGGAGAATGCCCGCGTTGTCCGAGCTGGTTGTGTCTGGCCTAGCGCCTGCGCTTGAGGACGCGGCAGTTCCTGACGCCACCGGCAACGGTGTCGCAGAGGATCTGCCCAGGTCGCGCAATCGCTTCACCACACGGAGAACAGAAGCTGCGGTCTTTGCCCCTGACGTCACAGATTTGGCCTTCGTCCTGCACTCTTTGAATGCCTTGTGCAACTGCTGGGCAAACATGGCCTTCTCAGAAGCCTGCACTCCAGTGAATGCTAGCTTGGCAGCAGCTTCCAAGGCTGAACGGTTGGGTCGCTCTGTCAAAGCAAGGATGTCCAACATGAGTTCTTCGTATTCTGTCACCACATCTTCATAGTTGCTCGCCCTGTATTTCTCCTCGTCCAAGTGGCCCACATGCAGGCGCATCAGCCTGCATAGCTCCGCTGCGCTTGCTGTGTTGCGCGCGCGGCCGCCGCTCATGGCTGCCTCAAAAAAAATGGTGCTATATCCAGGCGGCAGCGACTGAGTGGGCACGCGCAGAAGCTCACTGCATTTCAGGTCATTGCAAGCACTCATGTGGACTCTTTCAAATGAAAACCCCTTAAATTAATTAAAGACTATAGTCCTTAAATAAGGTTGATAGAAAACCCTTTAAATTAAAATAGAGACTTTTGGAAGATCAGGGTCCCTGGGACTGATGTATCATGGCCGTGCAAGAATGCATGGCTGTCCGCAGCGAGTCTGCCTTCCCGGATTTGTTTCTGTAGATGTTGCAACCATACATCCCGTGTTCGTTCGCATTGCACGAGTTCGGTCAAGCCTTGGACCACACTCTTCTCCCCTAGCGATCCCCATACCAGTTCCTGCCCATGCACGGTGTGCGCTACTTTTCTGCTTTTCCCACTCGTTAGCATTTCCCAGGGCACCTCTCCCAAGAATGTTCCGCGTGGGGGCGGCAACTGCCATAGGTCCCCGGCCAAAATCACATTCAACCCCCCGAAGGGCCGAGCGTGAGCGCTTCCTCGTGCATACTTGCTCTGTGCGAGGTCTCGCACCAGCTCCCGGCATCGCAAATCCAACCTGGCCAAAAGCTCTGCGCTGACCATGCTGATTTCGTCTACTATTAGCCAACGCCATTGCACGGCCTTGGCACTCAAGTCCAAGAATTTGCTCCCACTGATTTTGTCGTCTGAAGCACTCTGCCAATTTAGCCCTAGTGCATGGTGAATGGTGTCCCCGTCCAAATCATTTGCCATGACCGCTTGCAGCGTCACAATCTGGTACTGCGACCCACGCGTCCACCCAGCGATCTGCTCGAACAGCTCTTCTCGTATGAGTTTCAATGTGTGTGATTTGCCTGTGCCTGGCCCGCCGTGCAAGGCCCACCGCAGTGGCTCGGGTGTTGCCCCTTCTGCCGACTGCATTTCGGCTTTCATTTGCTCGACTATCCGCCGACAAAACTCGGCTTGTTGGGAGTTGCATTTGCCTTCCCTGAGGTCCTGGCTCCAGGCGTCTAATTTTCGGAGCGTTTCTGACAGCTGGACAGGTCGTTGCGTGACGGATGGCTCCATGGTGCTCCACCGGGCCCCCTGCAGGGATGGGGTCTTATTGCGATGCAAGCCTTTCGCAATATCTTTGCACTCTGTGTCCACATATGGGTTTTCTGCTTCCCTCTGCATTGGTTTGGCATAGCCCTTACCCCCCCACTGCTGCTCCGCCTGTTGCAGCGCTTCGACTATCAAACTTCGATGTTTGGACCACTTGCTTTCTTTCATCGCCTCATTCACTGGCACGTGTGTTTGGCAAGCTTCGGTTATTAGCTCTTCGGTGACGGTTAACTCCTCCTTGTCGTCTTCATTGTCGCTGTTTTCCATGTCAGCCTCTGGCCGCACCCTATACACAGCCAAAAAATTGCCTACGTATCGCTTGGTCTCTTCGCATGGCAATTGCAGCAACCACCTTCGTAAGCTTTTCTCCCATGTCTCTTCCAGCCCACGCAACTGCCTAATGTATGGCACATGCTTGGTGCCACGTTGCTTCTCCAAGGTCCATGCACGAAAATACGTCATTGTCAGCTTTGCGTTGCTGTCGGTGTCCTCCCCGGCCCTGTTTGGCACTGGGGCGTTTCCCATGTGAGGGCACTCCGGCCGGCGCCTGCGCTGCAGGGTCCAACCGTGCCGCATTGCAGCTCCCGCACTTGCTGGGAAGAATGCCCTATCAACTGTTTGTGGCGAGTTCTTCCTCCGGAAGTCCACCCCTGGAAGCAGCCGAACTTGCGTCTCTTCGGCAGTTGCTGCCTCCAACTTGGCTTCCCCTTTTGCCGCGCCGTTCCTCCACTCACAGCGGGTCTGCGGCACGCGCATGGGCACCAGCTCCCAAATGGCGACAAACACCAGAGATCCGCGCGTGATGGTCTATGTCCGTAAGCATGCGCTGGGTTAATTTCTCTTAACCTTTGTCGTCCTCCTGGCCCTTTTTTGGTCCAAAGATACTTTGGGCCTTGCGCCTCTCCACTGTCCTCGTTGAATGCCAGGTCAACAGCTTGCAGCAGCGCTCGGCCGGGAAAGCTACAGCAAGCAGCTGCGCTTATTCTTTCCGCCGCAACCACGCAGCTGCTCTTTCGATATGCGCGCAGGTTGCAACACTCGACTTGCCCTCGCACAATGCCTTTGCAGTATGCGTCACTTAAGAACCGCGCTGTGGTTCGCTTCCCTATTTTTTCTATCGGCTCCTTCCGCATGTCTTGCTGCAACTGTTGGTGGCCCCGTTGCATTTCTTTGATCTCGTGGAAGGCCATTGGCTGGTTCTTTGCGCAATAGTCTGCGCAGTACCCTGTCTGCGCATCCTGCGCACGCTGCACCGCACGCACTATCTGCCGCTTTTGCTGCGCTGATAAGTTCGGCCCGCAGCGCGCGCAGTCGAAGGGGACTCTGTATGGCACTTGCACGTCGACATTGACTCCCCGTAGGCTTGCCAACAAGGCAGGGCGACAGCAATTGAGCCACTCGTTTGTGTATGGGCCGTGCAATGACCCCAGGCGGTTCTTGCGGCCTTCCGTGGCCATACCATGGGCTTCTGCTCTGCAGGGGCATAGCACCTCCGCAGCAGGTGTCAGCCACGCGCTGCGGGGGAAGTCGCTTTTGCAGACCCCGGGGCGATCTGCTCGTTGGCAGCCATGCAATGGGATTCGTTCCCCTGTCTCAGCACTGGGTGGGTGGTAATGATGTTGCTTCAGGAACTGCAAGCTACTCACGTCATCGACCAAATACTCTTGCGCCCAAGCTCTGCCCTCTTCCTCCTCGGACATTGACGCTTGCCACGCACGACGCTGTTGGTACGCGGGGACCGTTATCATTTCCAGGGCATCTTTGTGTTCTGGCCACGATGCTTCTGCCTTCGCTATGCCTGCTTCCATGTCTTCGGGATCATGGCCCTCATACACGCCATACATTACACGCGCGTTGTACTCCAAGTATGCGGCTCTGATCGCCGCGATCTCGGTGCTTCCCATTGCGAAGATTTCCTGCAGTGGTGTATGCTGGTGCAAGCATTGGATAAAGCATTGGCAATGCGCGTGCAATGATCCGGTGGACTTTTGCGCTTCAATTGTGATGTAGGCTGCATCCATGCGTCCAAAGACGCCTCCAAGCAGTGTAGCGTTACTTCCTGCTTCATCTTGGCATGGTGTAGCTGCGCGGTCTCCTCGATTACAATCTGGGCACGCAGGGCAAGCTTTAAGCCCAAATAAGTGTTCTAGCACTAATAGCACCACCATACGGAACCCGTCCACGCTGGCCAAAGGATCCCGCGCCAACGCTTGGCGCCGCATATCCCAGCATGGCAACAGCCGCTGCAGTCTCTCCAAGTGCACTGGCCACTCCTCATGGTCCACAGGAGGATAATCTCGGTCTCCTACGTTCCAGTCTTGGTACAGGGACACTGCACGCACCGGGTCACTACAGCGTGTCCGGGCCATGCGGACATAGAGCATTTGGTGTGCTTCATCCGGCGAAAAGGTCACAAACAGTGGGACGCCAAAACGTATACGCAAGGCTTCAATCTCAAAGCGCATGCGCCTACGCGCCTCCTGCGTTCCTGGTAATTCTTGCGCGGTGTGCCGCATGTTTTGTAGCAGCTTTCGCGCAGCTGGCCGCAGGCCACGGACATACTGCAATTTGCTCACATCCATGTTTACTGCTTTTGGCTTCCCTCTTCTATCCATGTAGTGGCCTTGCAGCGCCTTCAGCAGCTGCGTCGCCCCCGCTTCAATATCTTCTGGCCGCAAGCGCTGCCACGCACTCTTAGTCTCGTCATACACAGGCGCTTTTAAACAAAGCCACGTTTCGGCTTAAGTTCAGGGCTGACCGAAAAAATAAATTCCAAGCCGAAAATCCGAAGACCCAGTCGCGCGCCACTTGCGCTTCACATCGCCGCGCCATGATTTTCACCCAGTCCTTCAGTTCTACCCTTGGCGCGTCTGGGCGCCGCCTAAAACGGGCCTTCGCAGTCCATGCCGGAGGGTCTGGCATGCCTGTGCAATACTTAAAGACATATGGGAATGCCATTCCAAAATATTGCGGCTGAAATTGGTCCAGCAGTTTATTTCCCGTTCGCAGCAGGAATTCTGGCGCGTCGTTCTCACCAATTGCTCCCTTCGTTGCGGTGGCCTGCAACGCCGAAACATGGCTTGCGTTGATGTCGGTCAACCCCACACTGCTTTTTTCAGCCACAACAGCATTTGGCTTCATCATGCGCTTGAATTCTTCTGCCTCTCTCACTGGCGTGGCCGCTTTCTGTCGCATAATTTGGTTCAGAGCATCATCTAGGGGCAGCACCGAAATGACTTCTTTGGGCACGCCGTCTTCTGGCAGACTGGACGCCTTGTAATACATGGCTTCCATTTCTACTTGTTGGTAAGCGGGGTGCCCGCGCTTCACCGCATCTTCGATCAGCCGCACTACGACTTTGCGCCGCACGCGCGCCTGGTGTATGACGCGGCCCACCTCCAAGTCATCCCCTTTGGCATGGGCACTTTTCACGATTACACTCACCATTTGCCGTAGCACTTCCCCACAATGTGGTAGCTCACCTGTGGCACCGTGCTTCTGGCCTTTACTCCTTTGCTCTAAATCTTGCATCTGCTCCAGCAAGTCTTCCCACGCTAACGGGAAGGTCGTTGCGTTGCCGCGTGCTGCCAGCCGCTGTCGATTCATCCATTGATCCTGGTCTAGGGCACGCTCGCCTCGGAGCATTTTGCTCCAGGCTGAAGCAAATCATTGTCGTTAGACAAGGGCTTGCGCAAAGCATCTCCATGACTGTCACCTCCAACTCGAAGACATCTTGCGGCGCGTAGTATACCATCATATCATTGCTTAAGGCAGCTAGTGGCTGTCTTTTGTCCCTCCACAAAGCCTGCCGACAGTCCTGGCAAAGCGGCACCTCGCATTGTGTACACATTTCATCACTCTTGCACCGTTTCCGGCAAACTTTATCCTCTGGGCAGCATATCAGTGTTATCCCGACGCCCTGCAGCTCTACAACACATGACCACTCCTGCAGTTCTCGCCTCATCTCTGCTTCGGCAAACTCCGTTGCCCCCGCTACGTATTGTCGCACATAGGAGTCCATGCCCAAGAGCTTCTCTGCCTCTACCATGTTCAGGCCGAAAATTGAACTCTGACTGCTGTTCACCGGTCGCACCCAACCTATTGATTGGTTACGCCCCGTCGTTATATGCGGGTACTTCTGTGCACACACAAAGCGCAGCAATGTCGAAACATTGTCTGCTTCCAAGCTTTGCCGGTATGCTCTCAGAGCGCGCCTGTCTATGGAGACATTTGCTATCGGTGCGCACTGCTGGCAACGCCAAGTCATGGCTGCCCTGTACAGCCGCAGCTGGTCTTTTTGTGTCAGCACTTCGTCCCAGGTCTTTGCAAAAGCGTCCTTATGCGCTACCCCTATGTGCGCAATCAGCTCTTCCTCGCTGTCTGCTTGGAACTCACACGCCTTAAAGCTGCAATGTACATTTGACAGATCATATGCGACAGTTCCGTCCACTTGTTGCCGTCCCCATGGCAACGTGGGCTTATCGCTCATCTCCTCACCTAGCCGCTGGATGCGCACTTCTTCGCGACGTCTTGGGTCGCTGCTCCTTTCGACAGCGTCCAAACTCAGGAGGTATAAGTCATCTTCAAACCAGGCTCCGTCTTCTGTGGGCTTATGCAGCGCCGCAAGATCTTCACTGGCGGGCGCCGCTGTTTTTGTGCGCAACCGTTTCTGTGGGCGCCACTCCACCGCTTGACGCTTGCCAGTCTCTAAACCTTTGCGCTTTCTTTCAACCTGGCCTCTGCCACCTGCGCTGTCTCTGGGTGGCCGTTGCGTCAGAGCAGCGCCTCGTCGAACTGATGCACGTACACCTACTCGTGTCCTCTTGCGCGCACCTGGGCTGCTTCTGTTTCTGCGAGCCGTTGCCTTCACTTCACGCGCGCTGGGGCTGGGGCCCTCCTGCCTCGTTGCTGGACGCAACAGGTCAAAGTGGAAGCCTTGTCCTGCTTCAGTTTTGTGGTTGTAGACATGCAGCTCTATGCCGGAGGCGCTGCCGCAATCTGGTGTTTTGTATTCACATGTCTGTAGATCTGACGTTTCCATCATCAACTCCGCGTGGTCCAGGGGGTCATGGAATCTGACACGGACAAACCCACTCTGCTTCCAGCGTTCCACCAAAAAATATTCCAAGATTCGCGGTGCGTCTCTGTGCCCGTCTAAGAACACACCTTCTGGCACACCAAATTGCTTTTGCAAGTGCGTGCGGCAATCTGCGCACATCTCACGCCGTGCCTCCGCCGTCATCTGCTCGGGACACACTCCCTGCAAGTGCAGGCCCAGCGCCAGCGAATCAATCAGACAATTGTTGACTCCATACGACTCCGCTGTGATCAACTCCAAGCCCAAGCGCTGTAGCTCTTGCAGTCGCGCTGCATTCGTCTTCGCCTGCGTCGGGATATTTGCTTGGGCCACACGAAGAAAACGCTGGGCCACCTCTTTGGCTGCGGCGTCAGAGGGGCTCTCCCCAAGCTCCTTCCACCCATCCCAACCATCTACCCATGACTGAGAGAAGAACCCTGCGACGGCCGCAGCATCCCCTAGCTCGGACAGGCAGATGGCTGTTACTGCTTCTCTGGCGCCGCCTCCCGAAAAGTGGCCCTTGCCCGTTTTCTTTACGATCTGCTGTGCTGGCTTGGTCGCCTTTGCATTGCAATCCCAGGCTTGATCCCCTTCTTCGTCCCTCACCCACACGTTGCCTCTTCCCATCTCCCCGCCAATCCACTCGCGAAGGCTTTTCACCCTCTCTATGCTATTTGGTTTTTGCGCTCTACCTTCGAAGCCCCTCTGTCTGTCAAGCACCGGCACAGCACAGACACACTCAGCTCTTTGGGTAGTAGACTTCCCCTCCAGACCCGACCGACACAGCAGGCGCAGCTTGACGGGCTCATCGCCCTGGAATGCACAGAGCAACACAGCTGCCACGCTCAGAACCATGCCGAACACATCGTTCTGTCCTTGCAGTTGCGGCAGATATGGCAATACCCACTCTTGCCAACGGCCTACACAGCCACCTCTCGCGGATGACCTCAACGACACATAGGCGTACGCACGCCGCCGACACGTGCTACACAGACCCTGCCCTGCGCCGCGCAGCCCCTGTTTTGTCGTGGACGCAAAACTGAGGTTCCTGCTCTCCGGCTGCGTTTCTTTCTCGGCCAAGAGCTGCGTCCTATGAGTACCTGCGTTCACGCTCACCACTCTTGGTCGCACCGCTTGTGAGCAGGGCCTTGGGGCAGCGATTGGCAAGCTGGGAGTTCTATGTGCTTTGGGCCAGGTCGATGCCCAAACACCCAAAACTGCCTGTGGCACAATGGCGCGCGGGGTCAAGTAAGATCGCGCCAGGGTACCCAGGCTATGCCGCATCTTTCGCTCCGCCCGTCGTTGGTCCTCCGCGTACGTACCACTCGAACAAGCCTTGTTGACGGCTGGACTTGCCACACCTGCGCCTCTTCGCGGGGGCTCCCCTACCGCTAGCAACCCGCGCTCCGCTCCCCAACCTGTTCCGCGTCTCAACTCTTCCGAGGCATCAGGTGCCACCCTAGGGGCGCCCAAGCGGGCACGGGACAGACCCGCTGAGTGCTGTGCAGCACCTCGCGCACTTACAGCCCGCGCGGAAGGCCTAGCGCTCACTATGCTGGCGCTGGCAGCCTCGTGCATTTTGTGCCCGCACGGAAGGCATGGGACCGCCTGGGTCGCCCTCATCGCTCTCGATGACTTGAGCCTTTACTGCGGGCGGCACCGCGGCTGCTTCGGCCCTGTAAAGCCTCAACCTCTACAAACCCTTTCCTTGCTGGATACCATCGACTTCCATAAGCACGTGAGGTTGTATAAAAACCCCCTATCCTTTTGCCTTACCACTTTTGGCGTTATCGTGTTTTTTTCTTGTCAAGGTTTCAGGCACACAGCTCATCTCAGCTTTCCTGACAAGGACTGTGCATACACTGGCGCGTCCGTAGTGTAGCCTAAGCCCGGGTAAAAGGAATCAAGAATACAGAGTCTTGAGCACATAGCCGGTGTATGCTTATAGCAATCCCTGTCCGGCTTCTGGTCTTCCAGCTCCTCCCCCAAGAAAAGGGGTCGGCGGCACCAGGGCGGAGCCCTTACTATAAGTTGTAATACGATGTAATATGCTTTAAGACAGCTTTCCGCGGAGTCTGAGCGTTTCTGTCGCCTGAAACGCGAGGTTTGCAGGTGCGACGCCAGCGGTTGCTTGTCCAGCGATGGTCTCGGGATGGAAAAAAAGCACAAGCTTGCCGTCATTTCAAGCTTTCGGGTCTGCAAAATCACAACATGAAATGAAACTAAATTGGACATTTGCTCGCGTTTCCTCCAGAAGCCCCTTTTTTGTGTCGTCTTCCAAGCACTTCGCCAGTGCTTCTGAAAGGTCATCATCTTCAGATCGTGAGCAGCAACGGCCTGCGAAGGACCTCCAAGTGTGGCTTCAATGTGTTAACTTCAATGTCGTCGGCATTGGACCAAATGATCTAGATGCAACACAATAGAAAACATAGAACAACGATGATGACAGGAACGAGATAAAGAGAATTGAAGAAAACATTCAGAATGAGTTCTCTATCTTTGCCTCCTGCTTGTTGCCCGTGAAATCTCTGTGGCAATGACCTCATCCACGTTGCAGTCGGTCTGGTTGGTGGGATTCGTCCTGTCGCGACTTTCGGTGCACCACGCGCGCCCACGGTGCCTCCGAGGCCTGGCGGTCTCCACATCTGAAAGTTCCTCCTGGACGCACGCGGCGAGCTGACCAAGCACGGGGAGGGGGAGATGGGAGATGGTTCCAGGAGCTCAAAAGGGTCGTCCTTGGCGGGCAAGAACTCCGTGGTTTGGAGGAGATGCTGTCCATCTTGTCCAAGATCCAGCCTGGAAAGGGGCGGATGGACCAAAATGAGCAACTTCCTAAACAACACCACTTGACACGACTTGAAAAAGCAGATTGCCCTGCCTGGCATCGAACAGCCGCATCAACTCATGGCGAGGTTGATGCATACTGCAAATGAGAAGTCGTCCACCCTGCGATTGATCGGCTGGTGTGAGAAGCTGGATCATGCTCGTATACTGTATATATTTGCATACACTTTGGATTGGAAGGTGCAATAGGTATACACTAGAGCGCCGTCGAAGCCTTGCAGCCAAGTCCTGTGCTCACAGGTATTTGGAAAGTCCGACCTGACTCTAACTACTGAGCCTTCTTGAGGATGTCAGTAGATGGACATTTGCAAGACCACACGGGCCACCGAGTGGTGTAGTCAAGTAGTACTAGCCGGTGACTGCAGTTGTTGGATTCAGACACTGGCACAAATTGTGCTTGGAAAGGTTTTTGACTGTTGGACACACCCACACACTGACACACAGGGTACCAGAACTGGAAGGGTAGTATTTACAGTATTTGGAAACGATGGGAAATTCGGAGGTTGTTCATTCTGAGTTTGATATTCTTGTCAAACTAAGGGATTGTAGTACTGTAGTCGTGGCATGTTTCGCTAGATGTTGGTCTTGTTTGTGAAGAAAATGAACATAAAGCGACTCGACGCTCAGCGTCTCAAAAACACGTATGGTTGGCACGTCCATTTCCAGATTTGCTGTATGTCTTTTGAAATATTCACAACGTCTTGCATCTTCAAAGTTGGAATCAATGGAAGCGTGATCGATATCGCGCCGCATCGCTGACTGTGTAGCATCCCGATCCGCATCGCTGAGTGTGTGAAAGAAGGACTTCAGAAAACGAAGGTACTCAGCTGAGCACGCTAGAAGTCTAGACATCCATCGGCCTCTGCTAGCTTTGCCAGGACCTGCCCGAGCATCAAAGCACAGCTCGCATCCAGTCCAGTGGTGGGTTCCTTAGCATCAAGTCAACTGCAGCGTAATGAATGGGTCCTGTGATGTTTGGTGTTTACTCGAAGCAAAGGCAACGTATCTTCTAGTGGCACGTTGAGGCCATGATGGGTGCAGCCTAAGGTCATCCAAGAACATGATGGGTGGCGATACAACGAGCTCCACACCTGACAAACACGTTCTTTGAGTGTTTTCAATTTCAAGTGTACAATCACCAAATGCCTTCAGTACTGCTCGGGATGTTTTGCAAGTAAGATACTGTGCTTCTATGATCTTCTATGCTGAGGAACAACACCGAAGAAGCTGCAAGTGAGTCATGGGGAAGCTCAAGCTGGATAAGAAGAAAACTGCTACATTGTTACATTACAAATTTAACAAAGAGGCTTAGCAAAGAAGTCCCATGAGAACACTGGTGATCTATGGCTTAGCCACTCATCACCCTCCTCCCCGAACCTGTCCAGTCGCGAACCCGGCCTATGGCGACCCTTCGGCGCTCTCCACCCGAAACTCCGCGTCGCAAACTGTCTCCAATTCTGGAGTTAGCCACCTCCTGGCAGAAGCGAAACCAAACGAACTTGAGCAACTGGAACATTGGACCGTTACGGACCGTTGGTGTTCTGTTTGTTCCTTCACCGGAAGAAAAGACGTCGAATTCCTGCCTCCAAATTCAACGTCTTCAAAGCCCAAGAGACACGGCCGGCCCTTTGCGAGGCCTCGGATTCGTTGCATCCGGATCGCATCGGGGTGCGGTGTCCATTCCGCTCCGATGCAGGAAGGTCTATGCCTTTGTCCTCAGAAACATGTCTTTCCAGGCCTTTTCGGTCCGAACTTTGCCTTCTTCTGGATCCGAGGCAACTACTGAGAGTGCTCGCAGACGCATGGCGGCCGAAAATTCCAGCGCCTGAAGATGGGATGATGGATGGTTTTAAGCACATGCCATGCCAGTGTGGCTTGAAGGGGATGCAAGGAAGGACAAGTGACAAGGCGAGAGCAGCATCTAGTATCATCTACTGACCTAGTATGACCTGGTGAGTTGAAATAAATTACAGTAAGTTCGCTCACACCTTTGAAGGTTCCATTCAGGTCCCTATGCCCCACTGCAATTACTGAATCTCCCTTTCCAGTGGGTTTTTCATCCTGTCAAATGTCTCATACACATCCTCTTCATGTTTCAGGCCTCCCGCACTGTCAAAGTTGCTCCCAAGATATCGTCCTTTCACGGTCGACCGGTCGGACCCGGTCGAGACGCCGTGGGTGGGTGGTTGACCGGACGAGCGGTGAATGGTCGACCCAACATCTCCTGGTACACAAAGGAGATGTGTCGACGACGACTTGCCGGAGACATGGCCTGCAAGCAATGTCTCCGCTGCACTTGCTGCACGTGCTGCAATCGACGGGAATGAAAGGAGGTGCACGTTCGTACGTACAAAGGTCAAAGATGTTTAGTTCTTCCAAAACAGGACTGCAGTTTTGGGGGAAAAGAGCACCTGCTCTTGCCGGAACAAGAAGCTAGTAACAAAGGGAGCACCTCTTGCCGTTCACCACTTTTGCAACACCTTGCCGTTGGGCCTCGCCTTGCCGTTGATGCAAACGGTGGCAGTGTCTCCGTGTGACATGCGCCCTGACAGCGCCTGCATTTTTTCTGAGACAGGCTGCGTTGAAGACAACCATGTTAAAGAAATGCCCAAGTCATACCGTCCAGATTTGGGTGTGTATTTCAATAGGGAGATCCCCCTATATAACCAATGGAATTTGGCCTATGGCGGCTTTGGGAGGTCTCCCTATTTTCATACAAACCACAACCATCCTTGTACAATAGCGAATCGCGAGCTCTCCACGATGCCTCAAGCAGAGTCGTCTTTCCACTGCCAGAGGGTCCAAGCAAAGCCACCAAAGCGCCACGCCCCGAAGATGAGGACTGCGGCGAGAGTCCCACCGTTTGGAACACGTCCGAGCGAACTCCGCAAAAGTCAAGCGACATCCGCAAGAGTCGAGCCTCTACAGCTCCAGCGACATCTTTCAACACCTGGCAGTGCTTGGCTTCAGCTCCAGGCTTCAGCTCCAGGCAGTGCTTTTGTGATGTGGGCGTGTTTAGTGGACCGTTCTACGAGTACCTTAATACACACCGATTGTCATGCATGTGTTTCACTCCAATGCAACGCTCTTGGATGCTCAGCGTGAGAGCTTTCGCATGCTTTCGCCTCCTTCCCATTTCGTGCGCAGTTGACTTTCTGCCAGCTGAACACCAGGGTGGCACCTTCAAGCAAGAGTTTGTGAGTGCAGACTCTACCTGCATCTACGAGGAAGAAGGCTGGCCTGGAGGATTACTTCCGAAGCCTCAAGACGTGGCAAGAAGTGCGGAAAAGAACACATATGAAGATCTTTCTTCATGACAGACTTTCTTGATCTTTCTTGTTCGCTTTCGGTGTCATGGAACCCGTATGGATTTTTCCATGGAACCCCTATGAAATCCACTGCAGGCCGCCTCCAAGGGCTGCCTGGGCGGCGGCCAGAGCTGCCAGAGGTGCACCGGGCATATCCAGCGGCGCGCTGCTGCGAAACCTGCGCGCGACTCCGAGCGACTCCGGAGGGGAACGAGCTGGCCAAGCTTTGCCAGAAAACGGCCAAGTGGCTTAATTGTGCTGTTGGAAAGTGACTAATTATAGTAATTATAAATTATAAGCGCATGATGTCAACTCTTCCCGTTTAACACGTTCTTCATCGTTCTTCCCTCTGCCTCTTGGTGCGTGCACAGTGCACCAAAATGCTGGCCATGATGAGCCTTGGACTTCCATCGACATGCCTCAACCCTTTTCAAAAACCCTTCAACTCTTAGCCTCCTCAGGAGCCAACACCGAGACACACGCCAGTAGGAAGAGGATGCAAATGGCAGCAGTGGTCCATTGACCAAACAAATTGATCGATCTCGTCGCGCTGATCACCTGCCGACCGGATCGGTGACCGGAGATCGCCGCCGGGGACCGGGACCGGATCGCGTGGGACCGGAGTCGCCTCTTGTGTGATGTTGTCTGGGAAACAAATGCCACTTTGGCAGTCAAAGGATAGTGGAGCAGGCAAGTCCTCAGCTAGGTCAGCTGGCGAAAGCAAGAGTGAAGCTGAAAGCCTCTAGCTAGAACTCATTTTCGCAGAATGGCTTTGTGTTCATGAAACAGGGACTGCTCCAACAATGGCTTATCTGCAAATGCTGTAATTACCACATTGATACTAAAAGGGCACCCAAGAATTGTGGTATCTGTCTGTGCATCTAGCGGAGCATCAGCAATGACATGCTGCGCACATGCCAGTGTGAGAAGTAGTTCTTTCATGCAATGTCCGTGATATTCCTTCTTCGTCCCTCCTATCTTCTTCGACCACCTAAGCACGCCACGTCCAGGATGGCAGTGCAAATGCTGGAGTCTAAACCGCCCTGCACCCAGCGCTGCGTTTCTTCGGGTCAGGTCTTTGTCAGCGTTTCTTCTCACCACGAAATCATCCCTTTCCGGTCATGGCACTGGAAATGGTGTCACCCAGTTGATCACTGCGTGCGGGCGCATGTCCATGATTGTCCGGTGTCTCCAGATTTGGAGCGATCGACCGTGGGCCTCGCAACCCAAGAAGACACCTTGTTTAATGCCATCGACAATCGTCCTACGCGCGACAACAAACCACTTCCAGAAGGACAACGAACACAATCTGTCCGACGTTCTCTTTCCAACATGTCCTGGTGATGGGCTGCAACCAGGTATCATCCGGGTAGGTACACCTCAACAAAAACAGGAACTTTAACTTGGCATCATTGAAGCTGAAAGTCAATGCGACTTGTTCACGTCAACGAGATGGTTCATGATGTTTCGGGTTTCGCTGCGGGTTAGAACTCTTAGACCTTTGCTCGCAGGTTTCACACCGAGCACATGGGCTTGGGATCTTCTTCTGCTTGCAAACCTCGGTCGTCCGGAGCGATTCTTTGTTCGTCGTCATGCCAGACCATTCTCAGTTATGCCATTGAAAGTCCCTTCAGATCTGTGAGAATCACACAAGAGTGAGCCAAATCAAGCTCATTTAAGCATCATCTAGATCCAAAGATATCCAATCTGAACCGACTTGTCCTGGTTCGATGGTTCAATCCAACTGCTAAGTCTTTTTCAGTGGGCTCCACACTCCGCTTTGCTCGCCAGTGAGGCCATCGATCTCATCATAGTTGGAAGCGCACTGTTGGCACGTGCACCTCGAGGTCAGGCCGACGTCCAGGAGAGTCCAACGTCTCCAGGGCGCCAAGGGGGGGTTGACAAGAGTCAGTAGCAAATACAGTAGACTAGTAACAAAGGGCATCGCTACTAGCAAGGACGCTACTAGGGGCGCGCTCCTGGCCCTACTACTAGGAACAAGGACGCTATCAACATTGATCCAAATTGGGCTACAAGGCAGTCCTGGGCCAGCTAGAATCTAGATAATCTAGTTGAGATTGTTCCACTGTTGTAGTCAACAGAGTTGTTATTTTTAAATGCAAATCGGCAGACGTTCGACTCATTATAGTCTGGGTCTCCCGCTGCATCAAGATAGGCTGACGATGGCTGCACATGGTGTTTATAATATCCTTGGAGATTGTTTCGGGTCAAGGACTGGGATAAGAATGAGAAACAGCTGCTTGAAAGGCTTCCGGCGCAACTGGTGGAGCCGAAATCACGGTGAAAAGGACAACCCCCCCAGGCCTAGTCTTGCCGATGCCGCCATGAGTCTAGTCTTGCTCGGCCCTCGGAGGGGAAGTATTGAGCAAAGAATTGAGGGCTGGCCCAACCATCTGGCCTGCGCGGCAAAGCGAAGCCTGTCTCTATGGAGAACTTCGTATTACGATCAGTGGCATGCGATGGACAGCAATTGAAGCGCTGGACCGTCGTGCTAGAAGAAAGGTAAGCAGTGTCTGTAAAGACAAATGCCCGTGCCTTTTCGGCAGTATTGGTTGGTTCACGTGGGTTTTCAGTCAGCACACATAAACAGCATGGATGCTTTACACAAAGGCTGCTTCCTTTTTGTCACATCACTCGGTTCAATTATATAGTTCAAATTGAAGTCCGTGTTTGCCAACCTCACGACCTCCTTCATTCGCTGAAAACCCCAAAACATCCCAAAACAACGACCGCACCGGGCCCAGGCTCCGACCAAAAAAGTTTGTAGGTCGGGGCTCGCTTCAACTCATCGGAGAACTTGCAGGAGATGCGCCTTTTCGTCCGATACGGCGAAGGATCCGCCGAAGACCGGTGAACACCCGGTGAACATGGCCTGTCGTTGTTGTCCAAAATCATCGACCTGCAAATGCACCGTCAAAGAAGCTTCTGCCACGGCAGTGCAAGATGGAGGTGGAGTTTTATGTGATATGTGATATGATGTCATACCAAAAGTGTTCAAAAGTCAGGACTTTTCAAGTCTTCACTTGGTGGAACAACACATCCCCGTTGTTTGGCGCCCACGGTGCCGAACACCCTCACTCACACGGTCTTTTTTTCCGCGGAACATGATGGTCTACGGACGGAATGACTATCATCGGCCTGGAGCAATAGCTTCCTTGCCCACAAGAAGCGTCTTCGACCTCAGTAAGTTCACGGCGCGGTGCGCAGCGGATGCGACAAGTGAGTTCACGAAACGAAAGGGACAACGTCCCAGGCGACCGCACGCAGTGTGTGCACATGAAGCCACCTGTTCCATTGGTACATGGGCATTGCCTCAGTAGTCGGCGCACAGTGTGAGGTTGGAAAATGTCCATCTGCACATTCAATCAGATGTGCATGACACAACCACAATCTTCTGAATCGCTCTAGCATGGAAGCACAATGCAAACTCTGCAAGAAGACTCAATTGTGTTTGAGCATTGGTAAAGAACACTGCAGCGGAGAACAAACACCAACGTCGCAAAGGATGTCGTTTGGCCAGTGAGTGGGAGATCGAGCTCTATGAACAGTGTATGAAAGCCAAATGATGGTCACCTACGGGGCCATTTTCCACTTCCACTATACTATTTCAGGGAGTGTATATGAAAAAACGACAAACAGCACATATTGTGAGCGGCATTATTTTTCATACCAATCACATGAACCAATTCAATAGCTCACCTGTACTGACTCCTTTGGGGTATGCCGAGGGGATGAGATCCTGCTTCTCCGAGAACCGGCCACGAGGTAAAAGGTGATCTTGCTCTCTTGGGCGGACCACAAAAGGACCTCTGTTATAAGTTAGTTTCTTGGATCTCTTGGCTACATGACTGGCACTGCTCTTACTCATATGGGCCAACTTGCGCAAAGAAGCACATAGAAGTCAATATAGAACCTCTTGAGGTGGCGATAGATCATAAATATGGGCTCGTGAACTTTTCGGGGCCCCCTGGGAAGCAATTCATGTTCAATCATCTGATCCAAATGTATCAAGCCCTTCAACTATTCATCTGATCCAACTATATCATCTGATCCAACTAG